ATTTCTCACTCCTCTCCTCCTCCTCCTTGTACAAATTCGTTCCCACTGCCCCTCCTCACCAGCTTACGTGTCCCCTTTCGCAAGAACAACAACTACTGTTAAATCGAATAAGAAGTTATGGAAGGTCAGTACACCCCTGGACTAGTGACCAGTGATTAGTGAGTTTTATTTACCGACCAGTTTCTTGATGTGACGACGACGTATCTCGTGTGAGCAGAAAATAACGTCAAAACGTGAAGATTAATAAAATAAAAATTAATTTCATACAACTACCTGTAATCGAAAAAGTTATGGCGAAGGTGACAACCCCCAGAGTACACTAGAGATACGTCGGGATTTCAGTGAGTCTTTAGATTATAACGACCCAGTTTCTTGATGTGACGACGTATCCCTGTGTCCTGTGTTCGGAGGATCAACAAATCACATAACGCGGATAAAAAATTCATTGAGGATTTATATAAGGATTGATTAAACTAATAAACAAACTACCTGCTCACTAATACCTCCAGTGTACTGGACCTTTGCTGAATCAGAATAACGAAAGTTAGGAAGGTCCAGTCACACTAGCCTACGTCTGTTATCCCTCCAGCCCAGCAGAACCCGGCCCCCGCCCTCCCCGCGCGGCAGCTGGAGGTGGCATTGAACCGGCAGCAGAGGTACTTCAGGATCCCCTTCATCCGCCCGGGGGACACCTACTCAGACCCCCAGAACACCAAGAAGGGCTGGTGGTACGCTCACTTCGACGGGCCGTGGATCGCCAGGCAGATGGAGCTGCACCCCGAAAAACACCCCGTCGTCCTGGTGGCAGGTAGGGGAACTGCACCAGTACTAATATATATATATATATATATATTTATAAACAAAGTATTTAGAAAGAAGAGGTACCAGAACTACAGGAGTACAAGTATATATATATAAAGTATTTATTAAGGGACAAACACCCCGTCGTCCTGGTGGCAGGTAGGGGAACTGCACAAGTACTATTATACAGAGTATTTAGAAAGCAGACGGGGGAGAAGTACTCAGGTCTGGCAATTAAAGTAGAAGTACTCAGATTGTAGGAATACTCTGTTACAGTAAAAGCCCTGTATTACTTAAGTACAGTACTTTGTAATAGTCATAGTATGTCACATGTCATATAGCATGTTAGAGAATGCTTAAAGATGACTGAGTAAGTATTGCATGTGTTCACGTGAACGTGCTAAGAGCCAGCTGAAGTTAAACCCTCCTTTCTGATCCGTCACTAACTCGTGTCTTCTTCTTCTTCAGGTAAAGACGACATGGAGATGTGTGAGTTGAGTCTGGAGGAGACCGGCCTCTCCAGGAAGCGAGGCGCAGAGATCCTGCCCCGGCAGTTTGAGGAGATTTGGGAGCGCTGTGGGGGGGTGACGTACCTCCGCAGCGCCATCGAGAGCCGGCAGGCGAGACCGACGTACGCCACCGCCATGATGCAGAGCATGTTCAAATAATGGAGGAACACAAAGGGACAAATGCACCAGCTCCCTAACACGGGGGGGGGGGTTGGTTGTTTTTTTGTGCCTGGGTGTTACTGTTCCTAACAAGGGAAGCTTTGCATTGAACCCCATGCAGAAACATCCCATTAGTCATCACCTCTGATAGTCTGATGTCCAGCTTTAGTGAACCTGGAGATGAATACCCCGACGTTTTATTTTAGAAAGGTAGAGTAGAAACGGCCGGATGCTAACCTGCATACGTTGGGACATTTACACCATTGGGATACGCTGCGTTAATTAGAGTTAATTAGAGTTAATTAGAGTTATAGCCCATGAGCTATCCAGCTTTAGTGAACCTGGAACTGTTGTAAGAAAGTTAGAGCAAGGATCCCCAGCACATAGAAACTACTGGATGCTAACACTTACGATATGTTGCGTTAATTAGCATTAATAGCCCATGCAGACAGTAATAGGTGGACAGTTTTGAAGTGGTTTTGGGCTTTATTGAGAATGCAAACAAAGGGACAGATACACCAGCTACCTAACACAGGTCTGTTCTTTGTGCTGGTGTTCTGTTCCTAACAAGGGAAGCTTGGCGTTGAAACCTATGCAGAAACATCCCATTAGTCATCGACTCTTCCCAGCTTTAGTGAACTTGGAAGTGTTATGTTAGAAATGTAGAGTAAGGGTCCCCAGCTGCCTAACACAGGAGGGGGGTTGTTTCTTTTCTTTGTGTTCCTAACAAGGGAAGCTTTTGCATTGAACCCTATGCAGAAACATCCCATTGATCATCACCTCTGAGAGTCTGATGTCCAGCTTTAGTGAACCTGGAAGTCTCGTTAGTTTGTAGAGTAAGGGTCCCCAGAACATAGAAACTGCCGGATGCTAACCTGCATATGTTGGGACATTTACACAATTAGGCTATAATGCTAATGAATGCTAATTAAAGCAACTTATCCTATGTGGACGATAATGTATAAAGCGGTTTTGGGGACGCTGAATCCATCTCTGACGTTTCCAGGACGATAAATGTCAGTTTTAACGAGGAGGCGGCCATACTTGTTCTCTGATTTTGACCACCATGAGAAGTGTTTCGACCATTGGATACAGAGAGCACAAGATGAACATTATGATCTCTACTGTGGACAACTCTTACTAATAAATCCGTGCAATCCAGATGACCCAGTCCCCTAAATCTTCAAATTCAACCCCAAATGAATCCTAATCCACAGAAAGTAACGATATGCATTCAGCTTCCTCAATCACCTCCAAAACCACTTCAAAATTGTCCAAATCTGCCAAACAATTCTGAACTATTGTCAACACAAGCTACTGTATAATGCTAATGAATGCAGCTTGTGCTAATTGCCCATCATATGCAGGTTAGCTTCCAGCAGTTTCTTTGTGTTTGGGACACTTACTCTCCGTTTCCATCATGGAGCATGTCCTGGTTCTCTCTAGGAAGCTGCTAACCGGACCCTCTGGTTGTTTCCCTGTAACATTTCTGCAAGTCTAACGACGAGGCCTTACTCCTCTAACGGGGTTCAAACGCCACATGTACACAACTCTTTTTGTTTCAAAGCTGCCTCCCCAAAACCTGTTTACATCGTCTCCGTGGTTCCTTCAGGGCGGGAACACTTGCACAAGGAGCCTCTGTCGGATATTTGCTAATATTCTTTATCGTTTTGTCTTTCCAAGCGAATGTAACTGGAGACCTGGTTGATTTGTTCCTGTAGTGATTCCTCTTCTCACTGTGTGTGATTTCATGTGTAATGAGGTCCAAAAAACATCTGACTTTGACGTCGAACCCTCCGTGGGTTTCTTTTTTTGGCCTGAGCAGTAATTCAGCTCTGATTATTTGTGTGTGTATTAAGCGAATGATTATGCAACTCCTCTGCAGAAAGAAGTCCTTCAAACCATCGTTAAGTCTTTCTACTCGAGGAAACGACTTGCCAACGCAGCGACTCCCAGGTTTCTCATCATGACAAATAATCCAATCATTCCACTGTGTTGTTTAAAAGTATAATTTTGATTCCTAAAATGTTAAGAGGTGATTGAATCTCACGTCAGATTCAGACGAAAAGTACAGTTTCTTACAGCGGGTGCAGAAGTGTGTGCAGGCAACTGGAACGTTTGTACTTCACCAGAAGCAATAAATCTAGCTAACTAAGCTTACGGGGGAAACAGAAAGCCTCGTGTGACGGGAACATTGTAAAATAAAAAGAGACAATCTGCTGCTGTGATGCTACACCTTTATTCACCTGAGGTTGTTCTCCTCTGCACAACAGAGCGCTGACGTAGACCATCTGAAAGCATGAACATCTGTCTTGTTGCAAAGAAGCTGATCCTCCTTTTTTACAAATGGCATTAACGTGCGGGAAAGCCGTGAACAAAAGCACCAAAGATCCTCGGAGACTCCGGATTACAGTCGAGCAAAAACACAAAGAAATCGACATGTTCAAATGAGCCGACTACCTTTTGAAAAGACCCCAGAGACTTCAGAAACAACACAGGTGTAAACAGACGGAGAAAGGAAGACTCAACCTGACCCACTGTTAGCTTGTAAACAAACGTCTACAATCCCCCCCCCCGTTTATTCTCATT